CGAGTCCACTTACTGTGTGCTCATCTTCATCAATTTGAGAAAACTTGATTCCAAATATGAAAATCCATCACCTCATCAATATTTCTCACTTTTTGCTCATTTCGTTGTGCTTATTGGGTATTGGAATTGCAAGCATTACTGGTGTGAAAGCGAAATCAATATGCATTGAGGAAGAAAGGAAAGCACTTGTGAGCTTCAAACAAGATCTTACTGATCCGTCTAGTAGGCTTTCTTCTTGGGTGGGTCATGATTGCTGTCGCTGGGAAGGGATTTCATGCAGCAACCAGACCCGTCATGTTGACAAGATCGATCTCCGCAATACATATCCAGATTCCACGACTAATGAAGAGTGGGACGAGTTGGCTTTTAACCAGTCTTGCTTGGGGGGTAAGATAAATCCTTCTTTGCTTACCTTGAAACACTTGCTTTACCTGGACTTAAGTGGGAATTCTTTTGAAGGGATCCACATTCCTAACTTCTTTGGAGAGCTTAAAACTCTGAGGTATCTCAATATCTCCTTTACATATTTTGCTGGAGAGATTCCCCCTTCTCTTGGTAACTTATCAAACTTGAACTATCTTGATGTCGGTTATTCATATTTCTCTTCCAAAAACTTGAATTGGCTTTCTCATCTCTCTTCCCTAAAATACCTCAATCTCAATGAAGTGGATGTTAATAGCAGCACAGGTTGGCTGCATGTTGTTAACATGCTTCCTTCCTTACTAGAGTTACACTTATCTCAATGCAGATTAGTAAGCCTTCCACTATCTCCACAGAGGATTAACTTCACCTCACTTTCGGTCCTTGATCTTTCATATAATGATTTCAATACTTCTTCATTTCCCAACTGGATTTTCAATCTTACTAGCCTAAAATACCTCAATCTCGATGCAGTGGATCTTCATAGAGTTACAAATTGGCTGCATGTTGTTACCATGCTTCCTTCCTTACTAGAGTTACACTTATCTGATTGCAGATTAGTAAGCCTTCCGCTATCTCCACAGAGGATTAACTTCACCTCACTTTCGGTGCTTGATATGTCATATAATGATTTCAATACTTCTTCGTTTCCCAGCTGGATTTTCAATCTTACTAGCCTCAAAGAACTTGTTCTATATGAGAATTCTTTCAATTGTCATATTCTAGATGAACTTGCAAACCTCAAATCTCTTGAATACCTAGATTTATCTAATTCAGGGCTCAAAGGTAGTGGAGTTCCCAAAGTCCTTGGAAACTTATGCAAACTAAAGACATTAAGTCTTGGGGGAAACAATTTTGATGGTGGGGGGATTGAAGAGTTTTGGGAGAGTTTGTCAAATTGTCCAAATAATACACTAGTATTAGAGTCACTAGATTTATCAAATTGTGAGCTGAAAGGCAAGTTGCCAACCTCCTTAGGAATGTTCAAAAGTTTGCAGTATTTGGACCTCTCTTATAATCACATGAACGGGTCCATTCCACAAAGTCTGGGACAACTCTCAAAGCTAATTGACCTCAATCTGTATTGGAATTCTTGGGAAGGCAATATAACGGAAGCCCATTTCATTAATCTCACCAACTTGAAAAGTCTTTCAATAGGCAACTATTTAGATGACATACAAAAGCCCATGTCCCTCGTTTTCAACGTGTCTTATGATTGGGTTCCTCCTTTCAAGCTCCACACAATTGAGATTTTCAATTGCAAAGTGGATCTTTGTTTTGATACATGGCTTCAATCTCAGACTGAACTAGTAGATGTCATCCTTAGTAGAACTGGAATATCATGTTCTATATCAGAGGAATGGTGGTTAAAGCTATCTTCCCAACTCACATTGCTAGATTTATCTTACAACCAATTCCGAGGAAGGCTTTCATCCAACCA